GTGAAAAAAAAAAAAAAAAAAAAAAAAAAAAAAAAAAAAAAAAAAAAAAAAAAAGGCAATGGCTGAGGGTATAGCTCATTTATTTAACAAGATTTTGACCTTGGTGTTGTTTTGTTTTATGCCTGGTATGGGACAGAAGGGGCAATCCTAAAAGAACAACAAACCTCTTCCAGTTTGTCAATGATCATAGCAAAGGCTTTGAAGATGGCATTAGTCGGGCCAGCCAAAGTGATAATTCTCTCAGGACAATTCCCTTCTGAGATGTTGATCCGTGCACCACTCTAGATAAGAAAAAGAAACAAGGAATTTTAATAGATAAAAAGAACTGAAATTGTACAGGATAGCCCGTCCTAGATAACAGAGGCAAGAAGCTGCCGACATAAAAGAGCATTTCAAATACTGTTCCACTTGTTTTCAAACAACTAACTGAATCTTATGTTTCTGGGACTTTTCACAAAACTCACTTCCTATCACACTATTTGTCATTACAAATTACCAGAAATGAGAGGTAGGCGGATCTCTGTGAGTTCGAGACCAACCTGGTCTACAAGAGCTAGTTCCAGGACAGCCTCCAAAGCCACAGAGAAACCATGTCTCGAAAAACAAAACAAAACAAAACAAAACATTACCAGAAATGCTTTTCCCCTTTGAGTTCTACTCTGTCATCTCTCACACAGAACTTTTACAGGGTTTTCCAAGGCTAGCAAATCCCAATGTTACTTGTAACTTACCTCCTCGCGCATCTTCTTAACGGATTCTCCTTTCTGTAAGAAGAAAAGTCAAGCATGAGCTCCAACTATGTCAGCCTCAACTGACTAAATAATAATTAGAGTTGAAGCGAAACTGTCTTACCTTTCCGATGATACTGCCAACTTCCTGCAATGAAGAAAACTAAGTATTGGTAACAGGAAATTCAGAGTTCATCATTATGAAAAGAAAATTCTAAGTGTTCAGCCATCCACTACAAACTGTGCTAATTACCAACCCAAAGAAATAAAAGGATTTTAAGATTCATGGGGGAGGGGCATTTATTCATTTCCTTGCAAAGTTCATACAGAAGCTATCAAAGAATTAAGACTCAGAGTGATTAAATACCATACCTTAGTGTAATATGCAAAATGAGGCCTAGGGATACAACTCAATGGTAGTGAGTTGTATCCCTAGGCCCTCAGTTCAATCTTCAGTACCACCAAAATCAAAGGCAAAACATAATCTTCCTTTCTGAAATTATAAGCTACAAGAACATCAGAATGTTTTACCAGCAAGCTAGGACTGTTTTTTGGCTCTAACTGCTTGTTAAGTCTTCCTTGCTCACTGAGGCTTCCTAGTAAAAGCTGTCCATCTTTTCACCATACTCCATTAGAGAGGAGTGCTAAAGCCAGATGTCCCACAGTGCTAATCTGATGAGCTCCAAGATGCCTGTCTGCTTTTCCTGGCCCCTCCCGTAGCAGTTACTATGACCCAATTTTCCAAGCTGCTGCATACCTTTCCATGCATAAGTAGCCTGATGGTGAGAGTGACATTTAATCCACCTTCAATCACACCGGTGTCCATGTCTAGTAGTTACAGGGAGCTGGACTTGGAGTGGTCAAGTCTTTGGTCACTGGTGGGAGTGAAAGCCAAAACTGAAATATAAGAATGACCAAAATTAAGGGTGGGGGGAGTAACTTTTTTTCAGTTATTTTCACTTCGCCTTTTCCACCTTTATCTAATTGACTCTTTGCCTTTAAATGTTAGCCTATCAGACTTGTAAACACACCCATCACAACTTCTTAACACTTACAGATCAGGTTTTGTTTCCAGTTTGCTCATTAATGATAGGGTTTCCACTGATGATTGGGATGAGAAAGATTCGTTCCTTCCACTGGCAATGGTTCTAAGGGAACTTTTAAGTGCAGGAAGTTGTACTTCAGCTGAGTACATTTTGAAAAGGACTGAAAAACAGCTGAACAAACTTTACAGTGAGGGCAAATTCAGCTTCTTCTGCTAGGCAGCAGTTGGAAGTGAAGGTAGAATTATCTATGTAAATGTTCATAGTCTTAAACACCAAATGTTTGTAAAGTAATTTAGTTCAGATCTGTGTATGGTGGTACATTACTGTATTACTCTCAGCATTTCAGAGGTTCTGACAGGATTGCTCTACATTCAAAGCACCTTAGGCAAGATATTGAGAGCAAAGTCAGCTGCCAGGACTACACATTGGGACAGTCAAAAAACAGCAAGAAAAATAGTTTAGTCCAGGAGTCTCACTGAAAAAAAGCATTAGCCAAGATACATTCCACAACTGATTGGGTTCCATATTCCTATTCCTCCTTTGAAATCTGATTCTGTACATCTCAGTTCTACTCTCCCATTCTCTCACTCTAATCAATTTGAGAAATCCTTCCATGTTTGACTACCACACACTTCTAAAAACTTTTAAACTTAAATTTTCTCCCAAATACAACAATAAAAATGGAACTGATAGTGGTAAAATTTTACTTCATATTTAAAGAATCCCTAGTGACATTACCAGGTTGGGTCATGTACTCATCCCCTGAAACAACTTTGGAATAACTACTCATATAAACATAGAATTTGGATTTTGATGCTTTTTGCCTTTAATAACCTTCCCATTTAGCACCAAACACTGATAGTTTCAAAAGAGTCAACTTTTCAAAGAGTCCTGAAGTTTCTCCAACAGCAGGTCAAGTATTCATCCCTTCATATCAGTATCAATAATTTCTCTGAATTTTGCCCCTTCAAAACACCAGTTTTCATTTTGCTGTATACACAATCCCCATTCCCTTAAGGTTTTGTTTGTTTGTTTGTTCGTTTGTTTGGAGTCAGGGTCTCTGTATGTAGCCCAGGACCGAATGGAACTGGCTAAACACCATGTTGGACTCCAAACTCGAAGACCCATCTGCCTCTGCATCCAAGTCCAAGCCCTAAACATTGAGAGCACTGAAGAGTGGCTGACACACCTCCCTGTGTATGACAAAGTGTCTTCTGGTTACTTCAGGATGGTTAAGTGATTATATAAATGCACCCCAAAGCACAGCAGTTACTTTCTGTCAAAACCCTCACAAATCAACATCACTCACGGAAAAACAAAACTTATTGATTAGGTCTGTAAGATTAATTTTCCCCCTCAAATATACGGAATAAACCTGGTAGCTTTAATTCCGTATCCCTACTCAAATGTAATAACCATTTTTCAAATACAGTAATACAAGTTCAAAGGGACAAGAAAACCTATCTACAAAACCACTTAGGTAAAACACGAAGATGCATTTTTTTTTAAACTCCAAGCCCCCTAATACGAGAAACCTCTGTGTCTTCCTCTCTTGAATAGGTCAATCTAAGTGTACCCCATCCCGGGAATCCAGCTGTTAATCCTGCAGTCAATTACCCCTCTATAAATAGCTCGGTCTGGTTTATAGCGGCAGGCATTTTGTAATTTCAAAATTCGTTACCCGAGAGAACGTCAGAGTAACTCGGTAACTGGGAGTCTGCCTACCCTTTAACTCTGCAGCCCCACTCCCCTCCCCCCGCCCCGGTCATCTAAGCATTTTCCACTTAAAAAAAAAAAAATAAGCCCCCCCCTTCCCT